TTATTAGAACTGATGGAAATGTGTTTTTCCATTGATTGGCTATAGTGTTTTATGTCGACCATGACGGCTACAATGCCCAGTCATACCACTACGAACTGATCGGCTACATCATTGTACAGCAAAAAGTTTCCACCTACTTGGTCCGCGTAGGCAATATTGTCACTTATCTTTAAGCTTTGTTTTATGTCGCCAATGCTCACTTGGCAGCCCATTTCATCCCAATTTTCGTTAGTAAGTTAGTTTACTAGTACCTGAAAGGTCTAGTTAGATTTCGAGTGGATTTAGGGAGCGACGGGTGGGTGATTCTGGTTGATACAGCACCGCATCTGTATAGATTATCTTGCCACACTGCGCAGGCAAGTAATCGGCTACTCGGAAAAGTTCCATTTTGCAAAACGGCCGAGATCGCTCACCTCAGGGGTCGCTCACCAAGCTGAGATTGCAGTTCCATCATCTCCAGCTCAACGCTCCGAGTATCCAGCGCATCGTGGAGATTTATAAGTACTCGCAGTCGTCGTCGTTCAAAATAAATCTTGCAAAGAATGCCAACTGATTTGAACCACACAGGCCATCGTGCTGCCCAGGCGAAGTCCTATGGAGAAGGCGACCCTCACGGTCGAATTCCCTTTAGAAAATAGCCAGGCGGCGGAGAGAAAGAGAGATGAGCTTAAGAAAGCAAGAGTGTCGATCCCGAGCAAAATGTATTTTATCACCAGCGCCGAGAGGAGCGACGACGAGAACTAAAAAAGTATGAACCCTTCCTTGGACGATAAATTCCTCATGGCTAGTTGTCATTCTGTACCTCACCTTCCATCTTACTAAGTTATATTGTCTCAAGTGCATGTGTTGAGGTCCAAAGTGTAAGTTCAAATTGTCGAAGTTGGTTCAAATTAGGATCTTGCATTTGAAAGCCCTATTTGAATATTGTGGTCACCGGTCTTTGATCGTACGGTACGGGACAGGTACGGGATAGCGCCAGGCATGCTGACGGCAAAAACACACAAACACACACACACACACATACGGAACAAGAGAGCTTGGAAGCTCAGGGCCCTACTCTATGCTTTTTTGCCTAGCTCATCATGCCTGGTAGTAGAACTGCCCCTCATAAGCGGATTTTCTGGCCTTTTTGTAGTAACACATTGACCTGCTGAGCCAATGAGGTAAAATTATAGTCCACACAATACGATACAATACGAGAGAGCTTGGAAGCTCAGGGCCCTGCTCTATGCTTTTATGCTTTTTTTGCCTAGCTCATGACGGAAATTGTTTTTTCCGTTGATTGGCCACATCATTGTATTGCAAAAAAGTTTCAATCAGTTTTAATATGAGATAGGCAAAAGTATTTGCAGAATTTATAGCGGATTGTTATTTTCTCTAATTTCATCCACTTTTGGTTTGCACCTTCTTTTCTTTTAATCTCCTTATACTGTAAATCAACAAATTTTGGCCGATGCGAAACTTTGGCCGATCTCGAAACGAAACTTTTCGCCGTCATTAAACTTTGGCCGATTGGAGTTTTCAAAAAGAAATCGATCGGTATTTTTTGCTCTCACAAGTATCCATTCCTCATGCATCATTGACAAACTTTGGCCTGCGATTTACTTTGGCCGGTTGGTACCAAGCGGCCAAATCCGCGCAATTAAATCGCCGCCAAGTTTCGTTTCGAGATCGGCCAAAGTTTCTCTTCGGCCAAACTTTGTTGATTTACAGTATAAGAAGATAAAAAGAAAAGAAGGAGCAAACCAAAAGTAGATGAAATTAGAGAAAAATAACAATCCACAATAAACTCGGCAAATACTTTTGCCTAACTCATCCTGTCTATGCTTTCGTAATGCTAACATAATGCTCGGGATAGCACTCGCTACTGATCTTCGGAAACTTGACCTGACTATCACTTACTCCTGGAACCGGCTCTGACTCTGCCGATCACGGGCGTTCTGGAGTCATCGGGATCTCTCTTCCGACGTTTCCTGTGAGCGACGCTGAATCGCCCGTTCACGCTTGTTTTGGAGACGACGGGATCTCTCTTCCAAAGTATGTATTTGCTGACGCATCATATCACCTATTCGGCAACTAACGTCCATTCTAATTTCATTTCTTCCTCGTCTCCCTATTTCTATCCAATTCTCCCTCTACATCAGGGAGTAATACGACGAAAATTGTGGCCAGCTGTTTGTGACCAGCTGTGTTTGATGGTGCGGTACGGGACAGATATGGGAGCCCGCAAATATTGTGGCCAGCTTTAATGTACAATCCTGTAGAGCCTTTGCAGTCACAGATACGGGGCAGATACGGGACAGATACGGGATAGCTCTAGGCGTGACACATACACACAAACAAATAAACAACCAAATAACAAACGACAGAGCTTGGAAGCTCAGGGCCCTACGCTATGCTTTTTTGCCTTGATGACCTAGACAAAAAAAGCATAGGGATGTTATAAATTCTTTAAAAAATTCCTCTTTTTTAAGACATAACCTGGGATTTGAACCGGCACTATCGCCCTGCATTCATCCCCGATACACTTCGCATACATACTAATTCTTCCAAGTTGCTTCACGTTATGATCTTGTATTTGAAAGCCCTATTTGAATATGCATTGTGGCCAGCCGTCTTTGATTGTACGGTACGGTACGGTACGGTACGGGGTAGGTACGGGACAGGTACGGGACAAGTGCGGGACAGGTACGGTCGAGGGTAATACGACACCGTCTACCGCCTTGATGACGGCAAAAAAAGAAAAGGAATGTTATAAATATTTCAATACTGATATTCTTTTTCAGGCATTACCTGGGATTCGAACCCGCACTATCGCCCTACATGCATTCCCTCGTACACATCGCATTCGTGCTCATTCTTCCAAGTTGCTTCACGTTTTGATCTTGCGTTAGAAAGCCCTATTTGAATAATGTGGCCAGCTGTGTTTGATGGTACGGTACGGTACGGGACAGATACGGGATAGCACCAGGCGTGACACAAACACACAAACATACAAACAAACAAACACCAAATTAAAGCTGTGTGGAACCTAGCTGGTTAGCGCCAGGCGTTACTGAAGTAATGTCTTCTGCATAGCTACGGGAATTAAAGCTGTGTGAACCCTGGCTATCGCCAGACGTTACTGAAGTAACGTCTTATGCATAGCTACGGGAATAAAAATTCCTTTCTGCCTTGTTTTGTGTTGATGCAGAAGCATCAGTGCTAATCAACTGAGAGAGTTGCCTTCAGGTCTATTCAGAAATAATCCGAAGTTCAATAACTTGTAAGTATTCCAACCAACAATCCACCAACGACTAGAGATCGATCATGTTTGGGTTGAGAGGGAATTCAAGAAAGGGCGCGAAGCATCAAAGCATGTAATACGGCCCGGGGCGGAAACGTTAGTGAAGGTCCACAATGTCAATTTAGGCCTGAGCGCTAATGTGGGCTCAGGGTATATTTCTGATAAGTAGAATCAGATTTATTTTCCCATCAGCCTGTGCTACTGCATGTGCAAATCCGGATAACACAGTGTATTGTGCACTAAGTTATACTACTGTACCGTACTTACACAGGAAACTGTGTAAACATCCATGGGTGTTTACACAGATGTGGGCTAGAAAACGGGATAAGGGCGCGTTCAGACTGGCGTGAATAGCCGCCGGAAAGCTGCAGCGTAATCCCGGGAATCGCAATCACACTGCACATGTATCCCGCTGGAATGGCCAGTAGATCTACATGTGAAGCTTCGAGATTTGAAAAATTTGAGTTGACTCAGTTTGAGTTGGATATCAAAATAAACTAATTCAGTCTGTTGAGATACTGGATCATTGTGCTTTTGCTTGTGCTTGTCGACGGAAAGAATACTATGTCCGGAGTGTTTGGTGCTTGGGTGGAATTCATCCATTCCGCGATCAGAGTGTGCTTCTTGTCGCAGTAAGCGTTTTGCCTGCAGAGCGGCCCGCAAAAATCACCACGTACAGCTCCACGAACTCCCTCTCCATTGCTGATTCGAACAAAGATGTCGGCATGACGGGAGAAGTTGGCAGTCTAGAAGTCAAAACTCAAAACTCCAAAGCATGCAGTCAGACTGCAAGAGTAGAGGCTGAAATAAAACGAAAAGACGGAACATGTGCTGCAAGGATATCAAAAGCGCTCCGCGTGCCGCCGGAATCTGCATTCCACTGGCCTGCAGAGTGGTGGGAAACCTTTTCCATGTTTACGCTGGCGGGAACGTCACGTGAGCGATTCACCTTGACAACTTTCACATTCCGCTTGGTTTTTTTTACGCCAGTCTGAACGCGCCCTAAGAGTGTTGACACAGGGCAGCTTTTACGGCACAGGGAGTAACGGGTGGGTGTGCATTAGCTTTTCGCCTGTTCAATTAATCAGTTACACGTCCACCACCTGCTCTTCCTGGCCGCCCTCATTCACACCAACAACATGACTCCAAGTTGTGGACATTGGTGAATAAAGTTCCCTCCATACAGCACTGTGTTGACCGTTAATTTCAGTGAAAAAAAAGTAAATTATCGTCCCCTCCGGAAGGGAACTCACGACGGCCGCTAACAGCCGTTAATTTCAGTGAAGATTGAGAATATTGAATGGCTTAAATTAATTAATTCGCAACATCTGTTTATAATTTCAAATTTGGACTTCACGGAGAATTTCACACAGTGTTAGGAAATTAGAGGCCACATGCCACGTACTACTTGGTCCGTTTCACCGCAATTGTCGCTTATCGATCTGACATGTTTTTGATAGTTTTAGACCCACGCACTTCGCCAAAAGCACCATTTCTTTGTTGTAGTCCATGATGGCAGATTCGGAAAGACGTTCTCCGAGGAAAGCTCCTCGATTGCAACGCGTTGCGGCTCAAATGGCCGGTGAACAAACGCCTAGTCGTCGTAAAAAGCGCACTCCTACTCCTCGCAAGAAGTGTGCAGACGTGAAGACTCCGGATCGCTGGAGAATCGTGACTGCCTACATGGAGCTGAGCAAGGGTCGGGATAAGCCGGATGCCAAAGGTGATGTTTTTGGCAGTCACGGCGAAGCCGCGTGCAGAGTACGGCTTTGATGGGAAAGTAGGCATGTGGCCTTTCACAGTTGTACGAAAGGCCAAACGCAGCCATGCCAAAACAGGCACAGTGGCTGGTGAAACGGACATCATCGAGAGCGTGACTGTGACTGCTGAAGAGTACAGGCACACGATGCTCAAGAAGAACGGTGTGTTTTGCAAACTGCGAGAGAAGATGTGGTGGTTCGGGAAGAATGCCGGCACTCCAGAGGCTGGAACGACACTATATTATCAGCACGATGGAGCCAGGCCACATACAGCAAAAGCAAACGAAGCGCACTGGTCGCGACATGGACAGAAGTCGGGATTCTCCATCGATGTCGTCGTCCAGCCTGCACAATCACCCGACCTGAACGTGAACGACCTTGCCTTCTTCTCCAGCTTGCAAAGCGATACGGAGCTGGTAGCGAAGCGGAATGTGTTTGACCTTGTGGCAGCTGTCGAGAAATCGTGGGCAGAGTACCCTCAAGAGCGAATGGAAGCTGTGTGGAGAGTACTGTACGCATCGTTCAAAGGAATCGTGACAGCTCGCGGTGACAACTCGTACAGCCATCACACAGGTAGTCGAGCGGCTCACTCTGCATCGTCCAGGAGAGGGGAAAGTCACGACAGGAGGTTTCCTCAAGCAGAGATCGATCAGGCCACGGCTGTGAGAGACACTCTAAGCCAGCAATTGGAAACAGGAGTTGAAGGAGTCGTGTCAACCTCCAGCGCTCATGAGGACACTGATGACGAGTAATTATTTCGTGAGAGCACAATGTCCGCGATCGATTTTCTATTATTCTGATCTTCACCCACCTCACAATTTGCTGGACCTGTGTGGTTTATATGTTTCCGTACCCCGTACACCACTTTTGAGCGCATGAACAGTCTTTGTTTTCATTTCTAGCTCTATTCATCTACCGCAAAGATAAGCGACAATTGCCCTGAAACGGACCAAGTACTCTTTTCTCTCCGAAACTCAACACTTGCAAGCCAGATATGAAAGAAAGAAAAAATCATCAGTCACACCACAGGGACTCGAACCAGGGACCTTGCTATCAGTATAGTTCGCAAGCAATGCTCTAACAAAATGAGCTACAGTATGACTCTTATCCACAGTGATGGTAAATCTATCCTTCTTCGATAAATCAATATCTGGCGGGCATCTTACTGGCAACTCACACCAATCAAGAGGGCCCTTGGCCATTCGCTTGATATCATGGGGAGCGCATCAAACTATGAGCAAATACAAATTGCAATTTCAAATTTGGACTTCACGGAGAATTTCACAAAGTGTTAGGAAATTAGAGGCCACATGCAACGAACTGCTCTTTTCTCTCCAAAACTCAACACGTGCAAGCCAGATATGAAATAAAGAAAAAATCATCAGTCACACCACCGGGATTCGAACCAGGGACCATGCTATTCGCGAGCAATGCTCTAACCAACTGGTTGTGTTTTTGTGTTTATTTAAATTCGCAAACCGAACGGACTGAACATGTCCAATGACAAGGAAGCGAATGAAGTCCAAATAACCCAGGAATGGGGACAGAGATGAAAAGAAAATAATGGGAACAGAAGGTTCTCGGCAAAGGAAGAAGAGAAAGGAAGGAAAGAAAAAGAATAATGGAGAAGAAGAAGAAGAAGAAAAATCGTGGTCACGGCGAGAAGAAAGCTTTTAGCAAAAAGACAAAGGAAAGGATGAAGGAGAAAATGGGGAGACACATCGTGGTCACGGCCAAAGCCGGAGTAGCGGCAGGACACCGTAGCCAAAACAACACCAGGAACAAGCACGCATGAAGCATGGGCCATGCCGGCCCAGAAGCGGGAGACCCCGAAAGGAAGAGAGAAGAGAAGAGAAGATAGAGAAATCGAAGCATTGCACATCTACATGTACGCCCACACATCCACACATCCACACACCCACACATCCACACACCCACACATCCACACATCCACACACCCACACCTACACCCACAAACACACACACATACATCTTCATGTACATACCCACACCTACGCACCAATACACACATACTTAGACACATACCCCCCCCCCCACACACACACGCGTGCACACACACACACACGCGTGCACACACACACACACAACACACACACACACACACACACACACATGTACATTGACAGCCACACATACAATTGCTTTGCAATGTTCTCAGTTCATAGAAGAAACGGGACTGCGGCAGCACGGTATTGACGAGGAACAGAGATGGAGCGAATACTGCTTGGCAGGTTGTTCCAGCATAGCGCACCCTGGAAGGCGAATGTCCCCTTTCCAGAGTTGCTGCGGGCGGGTGGCAGGCAGAGACCCATGCTGGAGTCCAGGCGCGTGGACCGGCCACAAGCTGGCAGTAAGAGAACCTGAAGCTCAGGACTTGCTTGGCCGTAACGGCAGCGCCATGCAAGGGATGCCAGCTTCTGCTTGTACACTTCGGTAACCCGATACAGTGAGAGGCGCTCCAGTAGGTCATGTGCGGATGTCCACGGCGGGCGTCCGAACACTACACGGGCACCACGGTTTTGCAGAACCTGTAGTCGATGACAGTGCCTGGCTGCCAGAGATGTCGAAAATGCATTTGATCCATATAGAAGATCGGGCATTATGATGGACTGGAAATAAGTTATCCGACCCTGTGTGCTGAGGCAACGCCGCATCCTCCACAGGACTCAGATCTTTCGTGATACACGGTTTGCACAGCGGGTTACGTGGTCATCCCAAGACATGTTGCTATCCAATGTTACGCCAAGGTACCTGGCAGACTCCACAAGAGGCAGCAGGGTCTCGTTACAGTTCACCGAGAGTGGAGTATGCTTCTCAGGTAGGTTCCCGGAAATGGAGATCACCTGGCTTTTGGAAGCATTCAGGATCAAGCCACGGTCGTTTAGCCAGTTAGCAATAGCTGAAGCTGACGCAGACAGAATTGCAGACACTTCAGACTTAGTCGGTTTGCTGCAAGTGAGACCAATGTCATCTGCAAACTGCAAAGACAAAGCATGTCCAGCAACATAGGGTATTTCCCGAGTGTATATGTTGAACAAAATGGGGCCGAGCACAGATCCCTGTGGCACTCCGCAGGTGCAGAGAGTGATAGTGCTGCGTGATGGTCCGATACACACACGCTGGGTCCGTTCGGAGAGGTAAGAAATGAACCACCGCAGGGCTGTGGCCGTGACACCAACATTGAAGAGTTCGAGAATTAGTTGGTGATGTCTAACTTTATCGAATGCTTTGGACATGTCCAGTAAGCAGACACCTGTGTACATTCGTTTGTCCCGGGCAGTAAGGATACGGTTGGTGATGAGAGCTAGTGCATCCTCAGTGGAATGGCCGCTGCGAAATGCAAACTGAGTGGAGGGAAGTGACTCCGTGATGTTCATGACTGATACAAGTTCCTTCTGCACTAGCTTCTCTAAAAGCTTGGACAGGATTGGGAGAAGGGAAATGGGACGGAAGTGAGTGGGAACTGCTGGGTCACCAGCTTTATATAGCGGTGATACGTGTGCAAGCTTGAAGGCAGAGGGTACTGTACCACGGGATAGTGAGGCATTGAAGAGAGCAGCAACAGACGGAGCAATGATATCAGCACAGCACTTCAGAAGTACTCCTGGGATGCTGTCACTGCCTGTGGCCTTGGCTGCATTGATGCCTCTCAGGAGACGATAAACAGAGTTGGTTCGGACATACTGGAAAGCTGATAACGCTGTGGGGTGTGATGGACCCTGTGGCATGGTGAGCACAGGGGGTCTATCATTATCAGTCACAACTTTACTGAAGGCTGTGGCGACATCCTCCACATCACACGTTGGCTCAATACGTTGGCGAGTTCGAGATGTTACAGTGTTGATGATATGCCACAGTTTGCGTGGATTGCGACTATGTTCAGCACAATGGATTTGGAAATACTCATTGCGTTTCCTACGATAGGCATTTCTGGCAGCCGCACGGGCACGCCTGAATGCCGAGTAGAGATGGGTGCTGTCCTTCTTCTAAAGCCACTGGTGATGTAGCCTTTTCTTGCGACACTGGAGTTGGTACAATTCCCTGTCAGACCATGGGGGATATGAGCTCGCCTTCCTGCTGGTGGATTTGAGAGGGGCATGTCTGTCAAGAGCACACATGAATTTAGTGTGCCAAGTGCTCCACATCTCATCAGTGGAGGAAGTCGATTGGAACACGCTCAGGTTGGCATTGGCAAGCTCATCCCGAAATTCTGGAAGGTTTATGGTGCGCATGTTGCGGGTTAAACTGGTTCCTCGGCGTTGCGAGGAGTGTTGATGCTTAGCGGACGGTAGCGCGAGGTCCAGTCTAGCATGTACGGCCGAGTGATCACTCAGAGTGCAGGGTACGACATTGCAGGAGACTGTAGCAGGGCTCCTGGTGAGGATCAGGTCCAGTGTTGTGCCGACGGGACATCTTGGGGTTATTCGGGTTGGGACAGAAACTAAATTTCTCAAACCGAAAGAGTGAATTGCATCATTGAAACGGTGGAGCTGAGGTGTTACAGCTGAGCTAACATTAATGTTGAAGTCACCAAGCAGGGTGACAGATGGTGATACCACTGCAGCCTGGTGAAGAGCCTGCTCAAATCTGTCCCAATAATGAATTGATTCAGCAGGGGGGCGATACATACACGCAAAAAGGTGCCGCTGTTTGGAGTGGTGCAGACTGATCCACACGGCTTCAATACCGTCCACCTTCAAATCTGGTTGTACGGTGACAGGAAGTGTAGCCCTGTAATACAGGCACACACCTCCACCAGGACGGCCGGCTCGATCCAGCCTGACAAGGCTGTATCCAGATATTTCTATCTCATTGTTAGCTACTGTGTTGTTGAGCCAAGTCTCGGCCGCACCGACAATGTCCCAGTCCATCGAATGCACCAGGTCCGACAGTTCATGTACTTTGTAGCGCAGACTACAAATGTTGAGGAATGCAATGGTCAAATCTTGCTCCGACGGTGCAAGCACTGTTCTTGTAACAGTGGGTTGGAAAGGTGTAGCGTTCGGATTGAGAGGAACTAGGGCTTGAAGAGCAGAGGTTGTCGAAATATGGTACTGTTTTCAAGTTAGCACTCAAATGTTATTCCGTCGATTGTGACCTGTGCGCCACTATTATCCGTATCCTCAGCACCTGAAACTTCATCACTTTCAGCTGCAGTGGAGAAAGCATTGCCGAGTTTGTCAGCCCGAGGAGTTGCTGAGAATGTATGCTTCCCTGACGCCATGGTGAATCCATCTTTGTCAGTGTCAGGTGACTGAAGAGGTGCCTTCCCTCTGCCACTGAAAAATCTGTTGCCCTCCTGCATTGGCGTCCTGGTCTCACTGCGTTCCTGATGCAGTGTCTGTGAAAGCATGTCAGTGGTTTGACATGTTTGCACTCCGCCCTGAACTGCAGACTGTCCAGCAGCTCCATCAGTACTACATGTAGTCATCTCTGAGGCAGCAGTTGAACTATCATGAACTTCACGCTCAGGGTCCATGACCTGACCTGTATTCGACCTTGAACCAGCCTTGTGGATCCGAGAGTACAGCGTGGAGTTGCCGGCAGATGCAGAGTTGTTGTTGTGCTGGCCACAGTCCTTCGCGAGGTGCGTACGGGAGCCACACTTGAAGCACGTGGGAACTTGACCCCTGTGCCAAGCGCGAAGTTTTTGACCGGAGCCAGGCAGCACGATTGTAGACGGTACGGTGGACTTGGGTACAACATTTACAAATACAGTGCCAGTCGTGAA